CTGTAAGTGCTTCAGAAAGAAATAAACTAAACTGAAGGAAAAATGGAGTGGAATGATCCTGCTTTTAAAGGGTAGTTGGAGAAGTCATCCTTATGGATGTGATTTTTAAGTTGAGACCCAAGAAGGGGAGAAGTGGCCTGTGCAGAACCTTGTGGCACATGAAAGATGGTGTGGTTGTAGAACAGAAAGACCAAGTGGAGCTTCTCAGCAGGGAGCTATGGCTGGAGTGTCTTGAGATGAGGGCAAGAGGTAGGTGTGGGCCAGATCTTTGGACATTTACAAGTCATGGTTAAAGAATTTGGATTTCATCCTAAATTTCTTGGCATATCGTCACAAGGCTCGAAGAGACCTCTGGGACTCATCCTATCTGCCAGGTTGAAGATAATTCTTTTGCTTTTTATCCATGCACCAAGTTTTGCAAGTCAACTTGACTAATGTTTGTTTATAATCAGTGAGTAAGCTGCTACTTTAATACTGCTACCCTGGAAGAGTCCCCTTCAAGGCATGTTAAATTAACTGATGTGAATAAAAACAATGAATAAAAATACCTCTCTCCTTTAACGAGAACAGTAACTTCTGTTTCCCTGGGCTTTTCCAGTCCCATAAGACCTTTTACAGCCAGAGTGAGTGTGTTCTGGTTCAAATGCTAAAAACATCATCTCATCTCTCTTTTGGGTTATGTTTTGAGAAGCCATTTGAGATCAGTCTTTTTGAGCACAGTTCTCAGCAGCTGTGGCTAAAACATACCTGGCATCACTGCTAAGCTGGTCATTTTTCCCTGAGGCTGTTCTCACACAGAACCAAAAGGGGCTACCATCCTTAATCTGACATGTGGGCCCTCCAGCTTGGGGACTGTTGAGAGAAGAAGCCCCAGAGTTTGTGTTCTGTAAGGGTCCACCCTAATCTCCATGTAAAGTATTAGGTAAAAGGCCACTTTTCTAACTTTCCATTTCTAGAGGGGTTATAACAAATTTACATAGGCACTTTCTGAATCTGGTCATATGTTCTACATATACCATTTTGTGGGTATTTGATTCCACATGCTTATTGCTTACTGTACAAAGAAGCAAAGTTGTGCAATGAAAATTGGATTTTATTCCAGTTCTGTAATGAATTTGTTTTGTGACCAAGTAAAAGTTGTTTCCTCTCCAAGAATTAATTTTATTTACAAAATGACCTCTATGGCTTTTTCCAGCTCTATTACTCTATGAATCTCTATCAACATGGACTCAAAAATAATGCTTGTGTTAGTTATGGTCATCGAAACTGCTGTTACAAATAGACCCACAACTGTAAACGCTCAGACAAAACAGAACTCATTTCTCTCATACACAGTAGTCCAGGCCTGGTGTTCTAGATCAGCTGACAGCCGACAGGTCACCTTGTTTGATTCAGGGGACTGGTATAAGGATACCTGCTTTAAGGTCTTTAAGGTCACTCTGCTAGTAACCCTTCTATCCCATCAGAAAGGGGTAAGTTGAAGTTGAGGGCCAGAGATATTCTGTAAGGTAAAGGTAGCAAAGATGCTCCACATATTCGCTTCCTTCATTCCTCTGGCAGGAGGTTCAACACACAGCCTCACCAGTGGCAAAGAGGCTGGGAAGGGCAGTCCCAGGCCAGATCCAGACAGAACTCCATTACCAAGAAGAGGAGAAAGGATTTGGGAGGACGGATAGCAGTCTCTGCTACATGCCTAACACCTGTATGGTGCTTCAAAGTCTACCCAGCTTTTCATCTGTGGAATTTTCACCACAGCTCTCTGATAGTTATTAACATCTCCATTCTACAGAGCTAAAAACTATGTCTCAGAGAGATTAAGTATATAATATATGAAGTTCTCACAACTAAGAGCTGAGCTAAGCTTCCATTTCAGGTCTGTTGGTCAGTGCTTTCTCTATTATAAATACTAAATGGAAATATTTGCATAAGAAACATTCATTAGCATAAATCTGCATGAGTGTGACGGGGTGTGAAGAACAAAGAGGCATTATTGTGGAAAGTAATAGGAGCAGCTAAAGCAGGCTACAGACCCAAGCTTGGTCTCCACATATTAAGAGGTCTCTGGATAACCTGAGAGAATTTAAATGAATTAAAAAAAAAGAAAAAGGTTGCTGATGAACTGTTTGCAAACTGAGGTAGTTACTCAGTTTGCTCTCTGTTGGTCTAAAAAGAACATCTAAGGACAGAGGAATGGCAAGAAACTCTGAATGGAGGAAAAGGCAAAACATTAAAGAAGGCCAGAATCTAAAAAAAATGAAAAATAAAAGCTGTATACTGTCATCCCACACACAGAGAAGTGAGCGGGTTTGTACCGGCAGCAGAGTCGCAGATCGCTAGAGAGAAGTCCCCCCACCCACCTCCACCCATCACCCACATGCACAAATCATTCTCTGGTTCCACTATTTTATGCTCACTATGAAAACCCAACCATAAAATGCCAATAAACCAACCTCACATCTTTTGAAAGAGCAGTGAAGCGATTTCTAAGCACCATCTTGAAAAATTCTATCTACCTGGGTTCTTTGTTAGTTTAAGCCAAATGTCTATGAAAATAAAGAATCCCTGAAGAATATATTAGGTCCAATTATTCCTAGTTTTAGTCTTCATAAAGAATTGAGGAAGTCACATGTCAGGATTATTTCTTCTCCATCTCTCTCCCTACTCATAATAACATGATTTCCAAATGCAGATTATTTAAAAGTAAAGGTTCCCTTTCTCACAAATCTGTCCAAAACTGGTTATTTTTCAAAGGGATGGTAGTTTCACAGATTACCAACTCTAGGTAAGGAAAGCTGCCATGAGGCTCAGAGATCGGCCATCACTCGAAAGGCTTCAAGATGGACTCAGAGAGGGGACATCAGGAAGGCCCGCCAAGTCAGTTATAATGTACAGATGTGACAAGGTCATTATTATTTCATACAGCAAGTTAATACAGTTCTACTTGTGCCCTTTCTGGAAAGCATAGGAAAGCTCACCAATGATATGATTTCTCATGGAGAGTTTTAAGAATTATGCCACCCTACACCTTATCATGACAAAGTTCTTGGCCTAGTCTCCCAGACCTTTTTTCCTAATTCATTTTTATTCTAGACACCTGCAGGACTTATGGAGACATCACTGGCTACCTTTTGTCATCATTTAAGGGAGGCTAGGAATTCTACCAAACTATACCAACATGGCTTTTAAAGGACCTAACTATAACCAACTTACTTGAGCAATTTTGAGTCCTGTTCTACTTTTATATCCAAGTCTGTCATCATCAGGTTATATTTATTGAGCACTTTCATGTTTATAGCATTGAATTCAGTAGATAGTGGAGCAGAAAGAGAAGCAGAGGATTTTTAACAATCTAGAGAAAAGAATCTAAATCAACCTCCAAAGCTAATAGCGTGTTATAAATGCAGTTCATCCTAATGCTAATTTCTCTGGTCTTTTGTTTACACAAAAAAGCTCCAGGCTGGATTTTGGTGTCACATTTATCACCCAGTAGAATATAAGCAAATCCCATTATACCCAAATTCAGCTATCCAAATGAACCGAAATGTGGATTATGGTATCTCTTTACACTGCAATTTCTACTTGAAAGCAGAAACATAATTCCAATGTTCAACAAATACAAAAGAAAAGCAAACAGTTTTTCTCGCAATTCCTGTTTTGACTCTCTCATTACCATCTAAGCCTTTAGGCTCATCAGCCACTATGTAGAAAGGGGGAAAAAAATGTGTTAATGCAGCTATAAAATGACCCCAAAGCCAGGAGATGGTGTTAAAGTAACATGTGGCAGTGGGATCTCCGTTCACCAGTACACCTCTTCAGACAGTCAGACCGTTTAGCTAGTCTCAGAACTCTGCAGGTTCTCAAATGTTCCCATCATTACCTAGCTTAGAAAATGCCCCTTCTTTATCATAACGCCCACCACTTTTCATAACATCAGCTCCTTCATTCTTTTCTTATTCCCAAAGACAAAGTAAAGCCTCTGCTCCAGTTTCAGGATAGACCAAGTTCTAGGTGACAGAGTCAGAAGCAACAGTGACCATATTTATTATACTTGTTCAGGGACTTTTAAGAACACCAGTCTGACAGGGTGAGTGCAGCTTTCAAAGACATCAAAGACCCAGTGTGATTTTCACTCTGCAAGAATCTAGGCAGGTATGTGAAAAACACATCTACAGCAACTTCAATTAAAGGAGCCACCTTTTCAAACTTAAAATGCCCCGGGGGTATGTTCCGTTGAGTATAAAATTTCTCCCTTGAAAATAAAAAAAGTCTGGTTCTCTACAACTATACAACTATTCCTTCCTTTGGTCTCTTTTCTTAACATATCTTATGTGGTGAGCTTTGCCAACTTTTATCTAAATCACACTGCCCTTTTTGTTAGATGTTGGAATTCCCCAACATCTCAAGGCCAATTATAAGAGCCCAGTCTCAACTATCACCCATTCATCCATTTATTCACTGACTATTACATGGATAATGGACTACACACACACACACACACACTCACACACAATCTTGGGGTTTGAGGATTCCCAATACATAGTGCTTCTCTTCCTCACTCATTTCCCACTCAACTGAGAAATAAGACAAAGGAGTAATAAATGAAAATCAAGTTATCATCTTTTGTTCTGACAAAGCTGCTCGAGGAAACAAGGTGTCGACTTACTACCAAATACCAGACTTAGGGAGATGCGCTGACCAGCCATATGGGCTCCAAATGAACACGGGCCTCCCTGCAGGCTACAAGCGTTGCCACGTGGCCAAGGACAGTCCAGAGCACACACCTACAGACCTGAGTCTAAGAAAACGGGGAGGGAGGGGCAGAGCTATGTATGCCCGGACGTTTAGTCCCAAACCCACCAATCTAGTTAGTGCCTCCCCACCCCCACCCCCTCCGGTGAGTGAAGGGCTGGAACAAGGCCTGAGTGTCCCATTTAGCAATGTCCCTTGAAGTGGACTACATATGAGAGTAGGGTGAAAGTGCCTCCTCCCCCACGACATACCTGAGAGGCTTAGGTTCTTAACCCACTGGGCTTCACTGCTGACCTGGGGGTGGGCTCTTCCTGGAAGAAAGAAATGCACTGTCAGGACATGCTGTCCCTGCAAGTACAAGGGCCCCTTCATTCCGAACACCTACTGCTTCTTTGCAGATACTCCTGGGGCCACTGATCCTAGAAAGTTCCAAATTGGGCAGAGCCATATACACCACCTAAACCCACACTTGCGTTGCCCCAGATTTTGATGTGGCTCACTCCCTCACCTCCTTCCAGTCTTCATGCAAATGTCACTTATCAAAGATGCCTTTCCGGACCACCCTATTGAAAACTGAAAGCTTTCACCCACCTCTGTGTCCCCATCCTCTTTCCCTGCTTCATTTTTCTCTAAAGTGCTGATTCCCACTTGACATGTCCCTTTGCAATTATAAAAAAGATTAACGAATTTACTTATTCACTCTCTGCCCAGTTGTAAGTAAGCTCTGTAAGCTCCGGGCTTTTTGATTGCTTTGGTCACTGCTACATTCCCAGTGCCTAAAACACCACTTAGCAGTTAGTAGACACTAAGTAAAAATTTGTTGGATGACAGAATAAATAGAAACAGTACTTCAACTGGGTACAATGTACCACAGTCTGCTGAAACCTCTGAGGTAAGATTCCCAGGGGTCCAGCATCTTCTCAAAGCATCCACCAATCCCAGCCACTCCCTGTAAATACTCCTCCTCCAAACTTAATCTCCTTGGGTTTTTTCCCCAGTATTCCCTGCCTGTGTACAAGGTGTTGATGCTCCTAGACTACATTGATTCTCCAAACTTTGAAACTTTTGTTTAGAAAAGCATCACAGAATACATGTCTTTAGGGACATAACTGTCCAGAGAGAGAGGAGAAAAGAGGTATAGCTGTGCATGCCCATTTCATTTCCCCACCCAAATCCTCTCAGTTAAAGTCATTCATCTCTGATCCCCAACCTTATTCCCAGAGATTGAGTGGGGAAGTATTACACTGATGGATTCCCCCCACTCCTGCATGATAGAAAATGGCAGATAACAGGAAAAATTGTCCTGCACCAAAAATATTACTTATCATCTAGGGAATTTTTGGTCTAGAGAAACAGAGACATGAACTATTAATAGGAAAGATTAGTTCTATAATGATATAGGTATGAAGCATTATGGGAACATAAATAAGAAGTAACCAATTCTATTTAATTTGCATACATCTGCCAATGTGTTGTAAACTCAAGCTAGTTTTTTTTAAAAAAATTAAATATATGACACCAAAATATATATATCTGCCCTAGAATAATTCCTTAATTTTGCAGAGTCCTTTGTCCACTTGCAAATGAACTTCTTATGGATCTTTGCATGTGATTTACACCACTCCCCCTTGCCAGTTAGGCTTGTGCGCAGCCTCACACACCTGCACAGACACAAACACGCACACACATTCTCAGATACCCACATATCCCCCGTGATCATGGTTGCCCAGAATAAAGACTTTATATCTAGATCATTCTTCCATCTAGATGTGGTCCCGGAAGACAAGTATAATTGGCATATGTAATGACCATGGGGACTGGAAAGAGTGACTTGCTTTGTGGCTCCTTCCTGCCCTCAGGAATGTGGCTTTTGTGGTTGGAGTTGGAGCAGCCATCTTGGACCATAAGGTGATTTTGAAAATAAGGCCACGTGCGGGCAGAACGAAATGGAAGAAACATGGGTCCCTGACACCAGCAGGCACCATACTAGCCCTGGGCCCTAATTTCAACTTTCATATGAGAAAGAAATGCACCACTGTCTTGTTTAAGTTTCTGCTCTTTCAGGTTTTTAGGCATTCGCAGACAAAGCAAAGTTCAGTCCCTTCTCAGTCTTCCTCTGTCTCTGCCTCTGACTCTCACACGTGCGCGCATGCTCACCCTTACGCTTCTGCCATCCTAGAACTCTGCGCTTCCCTTTGTTCCTTGTTGATGGGCTGAGGATGTCTTTCTCCCACTAATTTCTGGCCTCTCTTATCCCTGCTTTGAACAATCACCTCAAATGTCACTTCATCCCAAAAGCTTTCTTATTCACGTCTTTGGCTACTTCCTTATACTCCCAGAGCAACTTCTGCCACCCTCAGTAGCTCTTACCTTCTCAAAAAAGTCATAAGCTTCTTAAGAGCAGGAATCAAAACTATTTTACTTGATAGGCCCAGAATCTAGCAAAGTGCCTGATGCAAAGACACAGCACACACTAGAAGAGGCAGGCAGGGCATTAATATTCCCATTTTACAGATGGGGAAACTAAGGGGATTTACATAACACTGCATAAGTTAACATTCAAACTGTTTTCCTACTGTACTAGGATGCATTCGAATTAAAAAATAACTATGATTCCAGGCACTTGGACATATCCTTCTGTTCCAGGATGTAGTGTGTTCATAAACAGAGCCAGACTTGAAGGAATAATTTATGGAAGCCTGCTGTTAGCTTCTGTCACTACTTAGCTTAGGGCCCAGCACATATTCCACAGTCCTGTAGAGTCACTAAAGGACCCACTAACTTAGTGGGAGGGCAATCTCAGTCTCTTCAGTGTTAAACCACAGTCAAGTTCCTTCCCTTCTGTGCATTCTTCTGACTCTCAGTTGAGCAATTTTAGGCAAAAATTTTAGGAGGTTTTTGGTAAGTACCAGATAATAACTTTTATGCAACTGCAGCATTTAACATAAACAGATTTCTAACTTTTCCTGCATTGAGTGTGAGCCAACCTGTAAATTTATTTAAATATATGCAAATAGATTCATTACCAGATGAACTGAAAAACATGATAATATTTTATGATGATATGATATCCTAACAATAAATTCAAGAAAGACAACTAAGGTTGTATGAAAACTGGGAGGGACACTGTAAACTCCAAGGTCTGCAGCACCGAGGGAGGCAGTTAGCAGGTTTTAAAGAGTAGGTCTACCTCCTGCTCTTTCTGCTCCCCTGACCTAGAGAAAAACCTGGTCACATGGGTGTTCATGCAACCAGGTGTTTAACAGCATTCTTCAGGATCTGCTGAGCCACCTCTGACTCTGCCGTTCATCCATCCACTCACTCTCCTGGAAGCAGACACTTCACACAAGCAGTGTGAACCTGAGCAAGTGAGCCAGACCATTTTGCTCCACTGCTCAGAGCTCTCTGGTAGCTCCCCACGTCAAATGGGGTAAAATCTGCAGCCCTTCCCACAGCCTGCATAGCCCTACGTGGTCTGGTCCATGACTACCCACACCCTGCTCTCCTACCCAGGCTTCTCTCAGCTCATTCCACCCCATCCTCACTACCCTTTGGGGTCACTGCATTTGCCCCTCCCTCTACGAGGAGCCCTCTGCCCAGGTCTGTCATGCCTCACTCCCTTGGGTCGGTTCAGTTCTTTATGAACAGCCATCTCCTTAGAGAGACCATCCCTGATCACTAATCTAAGACAGCAGCCTCCCTCACTCTCCCTGCTGACCCTGCTCTATTTTATTTCATAGCAATCATCACCATCTGACCTTACAGTAAACACCTATCTATCTTTCTATTATTTGCTTATTTGTTTGTTTATTATCGATCCTTCCCACTAGCATATAAGCTTCATGAGGAAACAGGCTCTGCTTCTCTTCTTCACTGCTGAGCGCTGTACCTAGCCTGTAACAGGCCCTTGGGACACGTAGACTGAGCACAAACACATTCATCTGCAGCTATCTATTCCACCCTAGGCCTTGTACAGGGTGAGTATGACTGATATCGTCCCTGTTCTCATGATACTGACAGTTGGAAAAGAAGCTACTGTTTTTTTTCAAGCATTCTGGAGAAAAAATCATTTTGCCTCTGGTCTTAAAAGCTCCCTATCAATGTTAGAGGAACTGTATATCTAAGATTTTACTTCGTTCTATTATACAGAAGGTTGAAAGAACAAAACACCCCTTAGGAATTTTAGCTCGGCTTTCTGTTGGTTCTTCTTTCCCTTTATGGTTTCAGCAGCTATCCAGCTATTATCTCGGCTATCAGGTAGAAAGAGACAGCTAACTTGTCAGGTGGCTTCTTCCCCAGTTCTAATGAAATCATTTGATTAATTTTAGTGTCCAGGCTTAGTGTTGTCTTGGCTGATTGATATTATCAACTACATGAATATCTATAAAACATATATATAAAGTATAAAACAATGTAAACAGCAAACAGGACTCAAGCTATCTTCTATAGTAATAGCTACAATAAAAATTCACACTTACTGAGTACTATCTGTGTTCTAAAAACTACAAAAATACATGCATTTAGTGTATCACAAGAATCATAGAAGTGACTCCCTTTATATACAGTAGGAAACGGAGGCACAGAGGGACGTAACAACTTGCCCGACGTCACCCAGTTCTTTAAGCAGAGAGGCAGGAGTGGCACCACTGCCTGGCTTCTGCTTGTTAAGGCTGGTGGGCTTTGCGGCTCTTCTGTCTAACTTGGCTTCTTCACCTGTGGGCACCGTCCCATCTTAAGGTGCAGCCTGGGTTTTCCTCTCTCTTTCATGAGTCTTGAGACTCTTCTGCTGGTCTCAGCCCTGCAGTGCACTGAACAGCTGCTCTCCTTAGATGATGACGTGCTTCTGGCTCTGATACTCCATGTGACACTGCCATTCCCTCTGATAACACTGATAGAGGAAGGAATCCATCTGTGAGTCTGCTCCAACCCGATTCTAACCTCACTTTGAATTAGACTTGAAAGTAAGACCTTTATAGCTATTAGGTCTGTGTAATACAGCAACCAAATTTTGGCATATTGGCAGGAACGGGCCAGTGATGCAAGTTTGGGGCCTTCTGAACATGCCTCCCCCACCCCCGCCCCATGCTCTCATTCTGATTCTGCTGCTTTAAGATGTGGATCAACCCACAGCTCTCCTTTGGCTGTTCAACACATCACATGCAGAGAGCTCTTTACTTCTACTGGTTTTGGTGGGGAATACAGAATGTCTGCCAAGCTTGATTGCTTTGGCCAAAAACTATTTACTGTGGTAACCAGGCACATGTGAAAGGTCAGCCTCACAAGCTATTAAAACTATTATTCTTGGCTGTGC